TGCCGGACATACCGGTTTTTATGGCCAAGTTGTGCAGCCACCCTCTCGACACTCTCGGAAGACAACGAGGATTGACCTTGAAGGACCGTAAGGGCCGCCCAACGGACGTGCCAATCTTTATGGTCAAGTCGTGCAGCCACCTTCTCGACACTCTCGGAAGATAACGAGAATTGACATCGAAGGACCCTAATGGCCGCCTGCTGGACGTGCCGGTCTTCATACTCAAGTCGTGCAGCCACCCTCTCGACACTCTCGGAAGATAACGAGGATTGACCTTGAAGGACCGTAAGGGCCGCCCGCCGGACATACCGGTTTTTATGGTCAAGTCGTGCAGCTACCTTCTCGACACTGTCAGAAGACAACGAGGATTGACGTTCAAGGACCATGAGGGCCGCCTTGATGATGCTTGCGGGCTGGCTCTGTTCTAGGAAGGAGATAACCACCATTATAATGCTTAACTGAATCCTAGGACGTCTCGCTAGCGAGCCTAGAATTGCCACTCTTACTCCTTCAGACTCATTTCGCAGCATGGAGCATACTACCTTTTCTGGAAACTCTATCTCGCGTGCGAGCTCTGCTTGTCCGTGGAAATTGCATTCAAATCGCAGCCAATCGGACAACGTCATTTCCAAATCCTGTCGAACTGAGGTGAAATTGCTCGGACTGTTCGATCTCGTCACTTCGCTCAAACAGTGCATAATTAGTCGCTGGTGTCCTGGTCCCAGAAGGTCGAGTGGGTCCTGGACAACCTCAAAAAAGTGCATAACGTGCGCCTCTTCGTCCTGAAGTAGCCCAGTGACGAATCGCCATAGAATGTTATAGCGTATCGAGTATTTGTGTTCCTGAAGAAACCCAGCAGGTGATAGTTTTTCGGTCCGTCCTTTGATGAGCCGCGACCGTTCGAAGTGGAGGCACTCGAGCTGGTGTTGATTCTTCCAATGTCGGACGAAATACCGTGCTGCGAAATACTCTTGAAAGGTCAAGTGCAGAAAGTGATAATATTTGCGTTTATTTGTCGATGATGGCTCTGACGTCCGTAGGAAAGAAACGTTTTGCAGAATTTTTTTCGGCACGAAAATCTGTTTGAGGCATTCAGAGCTCTCGCATATCGTCTCCACAAGGTCTGCATTAAAGTCCATAATATCATTGTGCAGTCCAGTGAATGCAAGTGTTTCGAGCAGCATGATCTCATCCTCGACGAACATCTCGATTCCTCGTCTTCCCATATCTTGTAGGTCAGTGCTGTGCGGGGGCGAACGATCAGGATGCCGTTCGCACAAACGAACGATATCTTTTCTCCATAATTTCAGCTCAATCGCTTGGTATAGGCATGTCATGGTCTCTGGAGCTTCTACGAAGCTGTCACCATCGTCCCAGGTGAGGCACAATGCATCTAATTGAATCGGGATTCGAACAAGACCCTGAACTAACCAGTGGTCTGAGAGGAATGACTGGATTTTCTCAACTTTGGACGGATCGGAAAGTGATTTTCTAAGATAGGTCGTCACTTGTTCCGGGTAGAATCCAATCGTCTCCAGCTCCAGGTCAAAGGAATCGAGGCCACGCGGGAGAGTCGCGTACGGTCGAGATGTGATGACGACATTAGGCCGATTTAAGAGATAGAGAAGTAGTTGGAAAATATCGCTATCTTTCGCAAAGTCCTGTGAGACTTCATCCAAGCCATCGAGGATGAAAAGGGTGTGCGTAGACTTTGGATCATTGATCGCCTTGTGTAATTCAAGGGCGGCAGACTCAGGATATTCGTGGGTAGAGAAGAAGACATCACTGAACAGATTTTGGATCTTGTATCCCTCAGCCCTACCTTTTAACCTCCGCAGAGGTATCCAGAGGATACGGTAAAACAGGTTCGTCCCACATTCCGGCTGAGATAAAATCAAAGACAATCTTCTTGCACAGGGGGGTCTTTCCTACCCCGGCCTGTCCTCGAATGAGGATCCGTCTAGGGAGATCCTTATCGCCGTGACGCCCTCGGCGCGGATCGAAGATTGCTGGCAGTGGAATATGTGTTCCTTCGTACCGCTCTTTGACATGAAGTCGCGTAAGGAGCGAAAAGGGGGATGATTGGTGTGCAGTTTGGTTGTCTCCAGAAAACGCGTTCTCGTCTCCTGAGGAGGGTGCATCTTGATGGTGCTGTACAATAGCAAGGTTGATGTAACACTGATCCATCTCTAGGTCGTGTCCTGAGAGTCTCTCAATTCTGAGATTTGTCGCACTGTAGCATTTCTGTCGAATCCAGGTGTCGATTGTCTCTATTGATTGTCTCTTCAACGATTTCTCAATCTCTTCTAGAAGTCGAACACGCGCTTTGTCTCGTTCCCCGTATATCAGAGGTATCGACACATCAAAGATCCCGAGTAAACAGTATGCCTGGTCCTCTTTCTTCTTCGTCTTCCGTTTGAGAGCCCACCGCATGCGTTCGTCCACACTGAATTGAGATAAAGGCGTGCCGCGGAGCGCCATAATAGGAATATCGGTGATCTCGTAGATGGGCTGTTCGAGGGTGCTCCTACTACCTAACCGCTGCCCTTCTCGCGAAAAAAAACTCGACCGACGACGGCGCCAGTAGTTCTTGAAGCGTCCACCCCCGTGTGAACCATTTGCTGTTACGGAAGGCCCGCTCCCAGGTCCGTTCTGTCGGGTCTTCTCCGTCAGGGATTGACACGTCGGCCAGGTAGACATAGCACTTGACGGCATCGCGGTACCAGCGAAACATCGAGTTGATGGCTTCCGAGTATTGCGTATTATTCGCTTTATTGATGCAGCATGTGTCCACCCAGAAGTAATCGAGGTTGTCCTTCTTCGCCTGCTCGCCGCAGAACCGGATCTTCGCATAGCTAGCCTTGCTCTTGAACGATTTGTGTTTGAGGTCGTCGAAATCGACCTCGTCCTTATCGTCTCCCCACGTATGCGAGAGGATGGCGTAGGGGGGAATACCGTCGTGAAGATCCTCGGTCAGGCTGAGTTCGCCCTGATCGTCGAACTTTAGAAGCCGCATGGTGTCGGGTAGGCACTAGCGGCACGTTGTAAGTATGTGTGCAGCCTGAATAAGTACACCGTGCCTCGCACGGCTTAAAAAGCTCGAGCGCTCGTTGTGACCCTCTAGGGGATACCACTCTGGCGGACTGATCAGGCGAAGAGAGGTAGTCGTGGCGGTTGGAATGACGGCGAGGTAACGGCTAAGGTGGTTGCGAGGCGGGTGCGGTAGACGCTGGACAGTCATGGCGGACTCAACGCTGTGCAGCCTTTCAATGCCGGACCATGGCCAAGACTGGCCCAGCGATTAAACTGACGCATTGTGAAGAGTATGCGATCAGGCTGAAGGTGTATATTCAGACGGCGCAGTCGCCTGCACGCGGTAGCGTGGTGCCTGCGCAGAGAGTAGGCACGAGGATGGGGGCTGAAATGTGTGGCGTGGATCAGACTGGCTAAGTAAGGTTAATATAATTAGTAAAGTACGAAACCGCCTTCAAATGACAGCCTATCAAGCTGCTATTGACGTGGTCGCCTAAATCAGAAGGCCGTCCAGTCCGTAACAATACTGCACCGGCACGGTTATTACGTCCGTGCCAAGCGATCTCGGCTGGTCCTCGGATCTTGAGGGAGGCCCACTTTATCGCATGCAGACCGTGCACCAGGTAGGCAATGCACCACAGCACCCACCAACGACGGAGTCGGTCCATCTCAGACATTATTATCGTGCAAGATAAGTGAGCTGGCAGCCCATGACTGCTGTCTACTATGCTGAGCAAGGGAGTATTGGTCTGGCCGAGACGCCGGAAAAGAGGAGAGCCGAAAGGGCACGACTGATTTCAGGGCGTAATGGTCACACCAGGGTGGTAATTTTATACATTATGCAAGTATATGGGTAATTCAATAACCATGCTACCAGCTCCTTTCCTCCGATGAGCAATATTCGGCGTTTGTGTCGGATAGAGAGGTGTGCAAAGTACAAGTGGGGCCATGCCCAGGGCATTTCATTGCATAGGGATGCACGTTATAGCCGTATAGCGATTCTAAATCTGAAGGCGGACCTTCCTAGACGGGGTAGGAGGAGACGGGCAGAGCTGCTCTTACTGTTGAACTGCTTCAGCGGTTAAAGACTTAAAGTGTCTCGGGAGAGCTTTGTGCACCTTGTCGGCGTCGTAATCGTCGTCGCAGTCGCCGTCACCGTGGCGATCATCGTCGGTGGGATTGGGCGATGGAACCGGCGAGATCTCGAGCGGAATCTCGCTCCTACGTAGCAACGATCGAAGAATCTAGCCTCGGATGGTCCTACGGTACGGGGAATAGCGTATCTGAACAAGAGATGAAGCGGCCAGAGGAAAGAGCTAGGCGAGGGTCAGAGCTTGTCAACTTTCTAGAGCTTACGTTTGCCAATGAACATCTGCGGAGCTTTGGGCCCGTTCCGTCACATTCTCATCCGGCCAGGTCTCCGCCCCGAATGTCTCGGTGACGAAGGTACCGCTCCCGAAGACCGGTTTCAGCAGCACACGAACGTGAGCGACTGGAAGTGCACATCCACGATCTCGCTGACATCCATCAGGTACCTTTCAGCGCCGTCGAAAGAAAGCGCAGGCGGCACGAGAGCTAACTTGGAGGAAACACCGTCGGGCATGTTTCACATAGCAAGACTAAAATCCAACAAAAGGAGAGGGATTTGTGACCTACATATCGCGCTGCATAAAACGCCAGATAGAGGATCGTGACGCACTGAAAGCGCCGCGCCGGAAAGGTGAATTTCAGATAACCATAGGCTGCGAGCAGTCCGGTGACCCCGACGTCTTCTATTATGCAGGGTTAACGCGCTGGCCCACGCAGCATAGGAGACACTCAACGAACTGGAATCTCGCAATATTCCATTCACATACTGGCACCTCGTAGCCGATGATATCCAGTAGAATAATCAGCCTTCCAGGAATAGGCGTCCACGGCCCCTTCGACATCTTCATTCCCAAACGCATCCTCGCTGGTTAGAGATAGAAGCTCGGACAGGTCGGGTTCAGCACCGCCATCACTCTCCAGGCCCAGGTCAAGTAATTTGGTGTCTATATCCCACATCCTGTTTGAACAATATTCCTCCAACACGTCGTCACAATCAGGAGCTCACCAAGTTCGCTAATACGACAGAGATATTACAAAGACCCAGCAGACAAAACTCAGCAGACAAAACCCAGCAGACAAAACCCAGCAGACAAATCAGAGATACTTGAATACGGCTGGTTCGAGATATCTTTGAGAAATGCAAAGGGATATGAAAAGCATAACAGCTCCACGAGATGCCTGCGTCCTGAGGTCATATTGAACATGTTGGAACTCTCTTCTTGAACTTTGCGGCCGAGGCAGCTACTCAATTTTCCTCTCTTGAGAGTCAATTGCCATTGGCCTCCTTACTGCGCTGAGACCTTCAAGGGGGGTTGGGAAACGAGCATGCGTATGCCTGCGTAATCTGGTCCCAGGGATATATGACAATTTGGCCGTCGTTGGTCGTGATACTGATCAAGACCTCATCGGCTGAATAGTGTGAGATTGCCTTCCGCCCAGCTAGCCAGATAGAGCCACCCTCCAAGATATGTGTGCCGGGCCGTTCATCGTATGAACTTCTTCCATCTGCGATGACAACTGCTAGTTATCTTTCCATCTGATAATGAACTGGTCTGCGAGGTCTTGCGCTTCATTGAAAACATTATCGAAGTGACATATGCGGAGATGCAGTAAGGCCGGAACAGGGGGACGAAGCAATAATATTCGAAACCCTTGGTGCGGCTGGCAGTGACTTACTACCATATTCATCAGTATTAAACCAAGGAATTCCAGAGGCTGGGGCTCCTGGGCCTACGTTCGAGAGGGTGTTGGCATAATCAAGGAGGCTGATCATGTCGCCCGGGGGTGTCAAGGAGCCGGCACACATGTACCGGCATCGAACTGAGTTGAGAAATTTGCAGGCCGCGGCCGGGTCGAGCAGGTACTCTCAGGTGTGAATATTGGCGACATGGGAGAGTATCTTCGAGAAAGAGAAGGTAAATTAGTGTAGCGATTGTGGGCGTACAAAGACGAGTCTGAAGATCGGCTCCCTCGCTTCTGAAGGCCAGAATACCACTGATGTGAACGAGGGAGCAGGAGGCGGGCTGCCCATCTGCAAATTCGTCCCGACATGGTAAGATGCTAAGTCTGAAGATCATTGTCATCATTGTCAGGAATCGCTCGCCAGTGAACTATCTAATAAGTACATTACCTATCTATAGGTGCAGAACGACAGCGATTCCGAAGCTAGGGAGCTTCGAAAGGTAGCCTGCGACCCATATGCGTATACAGTGATGTGCAAAGGTGATGAATGAATTTGCACTGAGCAGCCTCCTTCAGCGAGGGACGGAGACATGGCACGGTGGAGACTATGCGACGACCATCGACCTAGTCCTGGCATCTGAAGAATTGGCAAATAGAGGCAGTCCGTGCCCTAACACCAAGGCTCGACCCTCGCCCTTCATCAAACGACGGATGACGACCGATTTGACACAACTACGGCGCATCTACGCTTACTGGAAGAACCGCGCCCGAACAGAGAGACGTGCGGGATAGACCAGTGCAGCGCTCGAAATCATGGCAAAGGGGGCATCCAAGCAATACCACAACGCCATCCGACAATCGAGGTATACTGGAGAAGCTTTTGCGATGGATCGAGGCATTCTCCCCGTAACGCACGGCGATGATCTGGGCAGTCTTCTGGGATCCGTAACCTCCTATAAGCTGGCTTGCCTTAAGGCTCTCCATTATCCCCAATCCTATTCCTCTTCTTTAATGCCGATCTCGTATAAAGACGAATCGACAGCTATGGAGGAGCGATAGCTTTCGTGGACGACTTCACGGCATGGGTTGTAGGGCCTACGGCACAAAGCAACCGAGAAGGTATCGAAGCCATCATTAAGGATACTCTGGACTGAGAGAGGAGAAGCGGAATGACATTTGAGGCGAAGAAGACAGCAGTTATACACTTCACCAAGAAATCATACAGTACAAGACCTCCACGGACTCCTTCACCATTAATGGACAAACTGTTGAGGCAGCAATGGAGCTCCGGCGACTGAGGGGGTCTCTCGCTCTCTCGCCGTGTCAACGGCTCGACAATTGTTCACATCCAGGGTCGCGCCGGTGTACGTCTTTAAGAAGCTCTGCTCACTTCCAAGCGCGCGCAGGAAGACGAGAAAATCCGTCGCAGGCGGGAAACTCAGGACAAGGAATCGGCTCTTATCTTGGAAGCGCCCTCGGTCCAGCCGTCCTTGATGTTGCACCATGTTCAGCCAGATACTGCCTGTTTATTCCAGTATTTTTCATGTAATCTTTCCAAAGTTTCCTGGGAGCCAAGGAGCCAGTTTATTAGCGTTTCCCAAGCAAACTAGTTCGTAGTTGACCCTTCAGAAGGTAGGAGAACTTCCTTGGTTTCACGGCCAATAGCCCCCTGAGAGACCTTGAGAATAGGGCCCTACCTGATTGCCTATCTGCAGTGGCAACTGCGCCTGTGGATAGGCCATTAATGGCGGCAGAGACAGGTAGGCGGCAGGACTGGGCGTAGATTCTATAAAAGATAATTGCTGTAACTAGGTCCTCCGCCGCAATGCCCTGTTCGTGTTGTTCCTCCTGTTCCTGCGCGATCTCTCTGTCGCGATCGTCCTGTGCCATTGTCGCGCGCCGATCGATCGTTTCGCGCCGTCGAAGGGCTATCTCGTTGATGCGGATGAAGAGGGGCATGTTTGCGGATTCATCGTTTAACCGGTTGCGGAGCTTCGTTTGCACTAGGTTCATCTGTGAGAAGGCTCTCTCAGAGGGACATTGATCAGCAATCAAATGAATGACCCTTAGGGCCACCGCAGTAAGTGGAGGGTAAGTATCGCTCTGCCACTGCCAGAACTCCTTTGGCGTCAGGCGTTGTTGCCAGAGTCTAGACTGGCGTGAAAGCCCTCGTCTCGTGCCGTGTATTGTAGAAAGCCACTGCGCGCTTGATCAGCCAGTCTAGGTGGAACTAACTTAAGTAACCCCTGTACACCGAGTGCCTTTTCATGGCGTTCTCACTGCAAATTGGTGTTGTGAGGTATCAGGCGGAACGCAAGATCGTGAGTTCTACATAGTTGAATTCGTCGACGGTCCTCGAACAACTGCCAGATCAACGTCCAATTGAGACTTTCAGATGATCGTTGAATTGCGCCTAGTTGTTGCCTCAGGTTTAACCATCTCTCCTTGACCAGGCCAAGGTGAGAGCGCTCGCTTTGTGACTGAGTTATCGCCATGTTGATCGGCTTGAGAAGACGCTCAAGTTGACTGATAGTAACCCAGAAGTCGTTTGTTGTAAAAGGACAGATCTCACGTAACGCGAGGTCTCAAGATTTCTGTAGATCCTTGTCCCATTGACTGCTGAATCCAAAGAGATTAGATCTGTTTTCAACAGCGCCGTGATCAGGTTATAATGAGAGCCCCAGCGAGTCTCTGCGGCAAGGGCGAATGGCGAGGTCTTACCGTCTCGTTACAGTTGAATCTCTCGAAGTCCTGCCAGTTGTTTTTGAGGCGCGTTTGAAGTGAGAGATGATTGAATTGCCATCTTTGATTGCCTCGGAGATCCTTAACCAGGAGGTTAAGGCGATGAGAGTCGCAAGGGATTGTCAGGATATGGCCCAATTGATCCACCTCTTTGAGTCTTACCCAGACGTCCCGCATAGTCGAATAGGTGTCAGAGCAAATGGCAGAGATTCGTTCAGGTTGGTTATTCGCGATAGCAAGGAATCGAGGCACGAGATCGGTGGTAACTCTCGCCGCAGAGAGTCTCTCGCTACCGTGTTTGTAATTGTCAATATAGAAGGTGCCTCTTGAGGTCTGGACTGAGACATTCGTTGTGCGCTTACTGTTGATATCAGTTGAATCGTCGAACGTGATTGTGAGGTACTTTCCACGTTGATAATGGCTGCGACCTTGGCGCTAGTCTGGTCGTAAATCGCAGGTAGAGAGGTCTCTGTGAGTAGACGACGGTAAGGTTGTTTCCGGGCAGGATTGAGCATCTGGATCCAGGCCTTAATGGCAGGGTTTTCGAAGATCGATAGAGGTAAGTTGGCATCGATAATCGCGCGTCCGGCGGCGCCGTGCAGCGGCGCGAGAGATTCGATTGTTCTGCTCCTTTGACAGGTTCAGATTGAGTGCTGGTTGCGACTTCTGCGCTCTGAGGATAGATCGAGCGAAGCGAGATTGAAACCTGAGTGGTCGCTTAGAGTGGTCGTCCTGGAAAGGCTTGCATTCCATTAGATGGTTGCGCTGGCGAGAGGCATTCGTCGCCAGAATAAATCGCAATGGCGGCACTGAACGCGTGGAGTTCTCTCGTCTGGAACCTCGCGGAACTCGTTGCGAGCAGCGAGATCTGCGACTCGAGGCATTCTGAGGCAAGAGATCGTTGAGAATAGGCAGTTTGAGGCAGTAGTCGTTGTTTAATCGAAGCTGTTGTAAAGCATTTACAGGTGTGTAAGTGCGCACAGTTTACGCGTTAAAGTGGCATTCCTATAGCGCGATAATCTCGCGTTGTATGAGAGAAATAAGGGTGGTTAAGGTGTATTTTAGTGCTGTGGACTAAATACATTCCTCATACAAATTACTAGGCACTAATATTATAGCGTACTTTTTTAGTGCATTGGGGGCCAAATAGATTCGGTATTTGTCACGGCCTGGGCGCGTAAACACTCTTCTGTCGCGTTCACCGCACCACTGTTAGTTAGACTCCTTCGTCTCAGAATTCATATCATAATTGCACCCTTAACAGTGATCTTTCCTGTTCTAGGTTGCGCCGTGATACTTTCTGAGACCGTCTTCATCAACCGGCTTCTCGCAGAACTCTGTGGAACTTGCACGCGATCGCATCAAACCAAGAACCACTGAGTTCCCCCGCCTAAACGCGTTCAAGCCGAACAAACATCAAACTTGACTGCTTTGATTGCACCGGCATGAGATCGCATCGAACCCAGTGACTCAAAGACCAGTTAAGGTTTCACCTTTTCTTCCAGGCCGCAATGTGGTCGTTAAGGGCCTTACTACTCGTTCGACGAGTGGTCAACAGATCTCTCAGCTTCGTGACTTGGATATGTGCCTGGAGCTTTCAGAATCAGGATTCTCCATCTTATCCGCCCGTGTCATGGACGCCCGGGCTTCGTCAAGAAGCCTTCGAATGGCTTCAGCTAACTCGCGGAGCTTCTCCCT